ATTTAATTATTAAGTTTGTTTAAATTGTACTATTGTGATTGATTGATTGATTGTTGTTTTACGACGCACTCACAATATTCCAGCTATATGGCGGCGCTCTGTAAACAATCATGTCTGGACCAGACAATTCAGTGATCAACAGCATGAGCATCGATCTACGCAATTGGGATGGGATGACATGTGTCAACCAAGTTAGTGAGCCTGATTACCCGAACCCGTTAGTTGCCTCTTACGACAAGCATGGGTTGCTGAAGATCAAATCTAACACGGATATTCACGTGTGGTTCTATTGTGAATACTGCACCAGTCAAAGATGTTTTACTATGGAAAGTGTGAGCAAGTGAACGATATGGTCGTGTTTGGACTGATTTTATCTGTATCATCTTGACCAGAGGCCAGAAACCGAGGTACCGGCTTCGGGCCAAATTGGAGATCCGATCGCGGGAGACCAAGCGGGACTTTTACCCGAGGCTATACGAGATATGCTGAGTAACAAAGCGAAGGGTTCGTGAATCACCTGTTCAACTTGATAGGGCAAAGCAAGGTGACCTATTTTAATCGTTCGGATTATTAGAATTATCATTCATCATTCCGCCGTTTTTTGTCCTAAACCAGTACTCAGAATCGCATCTAAAGAATAACCAAAGTGCCCATTGTTCTGGAATTCATAGCGCCAAAACTCAAGGCTCTAGACCCAATAGCAAAGGGCAGATAATTCAAAATTAATTCGAAAGGTGCAAAGTTTGATAGCAAATATCTCTAGAACTAATGGTTCAAAGACGTCCAAATTTCTTGTGCAGATGCGTAATCGAATTCCCAACAATTTTGCCTAGATTCGTCAAGTCGCTAAAATGCACGGTGTAACAGCTAAGTTTTTAGCCATGTTTTCTGAGCAGTTTGCTCCCAATATGTGTTAAGTTCGAACTATCAGCTACAGAATTTCGAAGATTTCCATACGTTGTGTCCAGAAACTACTGAGGAGAAAAGTGCTCACGTTTGTCTCCGAGTGCTACTTCTGGGTCAAAGTTCTCTTAAAAAATTTCAGATTTCTTTACACTTTTTTCAAAAGCAAATTTACAGGGGAAATGACTAGAAGAAGTTGTTTCTGATGTTGCAGTTGGTTGTTGAACGATTGATATTCTTAGTTATATGTCAAAAGTCACGTGGTTTGTCTGCCATATTGAACTGAAGACGTACAGAGGAAATTTGCCATTTTCGAGGGGGAGACATCTTCCGCAATCTGTAGCTCTAAATGTATGAGCTGCAGAACTTTGAAATTTGCAGACTTTGTGCCTAAACATCAAACATGGATGATCTAAAATTGTTTTTGGATATCTTGATTAGTTATGGACATCTTGATGTTTGCTTATTTTGTATATGTGCTCTTAAAATTAGTTTTCAAAATTCGTATCTTCTTTTCTATTTAAGATACATTGTTAGAATTTAGCAGTATGTAGTAACTTGGTGTACTTAACATTTTTCCTTCTTAGATGCATGCCAAAATGTCAATTGCGGCCATATTGGTATCTAGGAGTGTTAGAGTATCCTTCTATAAAAACAGCGTAACTGCTCAGGTAATGCTCAGAAAGTGCTTCTTCGCGATTTTTGCAAAAACAAACTTACCAGGTGAAAACTAACAAAAGACTTTTCAAAATCTGTATAAAATGTTGAGTGGGTGCGTCTGATAGCCCAGGTCCTGTCGATTCTAGGAAGGGCGTTCACCAAGTAGTCAGCCTTACCTAGATACTGATACACATATTTTGCTACATATTATCTGTCAACCTCAAGCAAATTGGTTTTGATATGTTCCAGCCTTACGATACCCATTTTCTTTGACTTTTTATCTTGGTACCCCCAAAACGCAAAATCTGCAATAAATGCATCCCAAACTTCGGAAACAATATTTGCAAGAAACATTTTGTGTGTGTGAGATAGGCAGAAGTCCGCTAGAATCAAACTTAGATGTTAAAATGCTTAAAAAAAAACAATTTGAAACTACAATCGCTTGTTAAAATGACTCCCCCCTTCATGCTTACTGAAAGAGTGTGTTTTGGAGACACTACCCCCCCCCCCCCCTTTCAGTTGACATAATCATAAGGACATAACTTATTCTAATGTTTTCACCTATTATTCTAGGATATTTATATAGCGCACATATCCATGCAACCATTGCTTGCTCAAGTCTCTGGTATTTGTTTCCCTCGATCACTGGATGTCAATCTCAACGTCACATCGTGCTATCAATCTCAACTCCCTGGGGAGTATACAACTCTTGCTACCACTAGGCGCACCGAGTTTATTGTGGCTCTCTCATCCTAACAAGGTACCCATTCACAGCTGGGTGGACTGAGACACATAGTCACAGTACTTTGTCCAGTTCACTGCACGTTGCTGTACCCGCAACTAGGTGTTTGCACGTATTCCTGTGGCCACGATCTGGTCATATACCAACGGATTCGTGGGTTCTTTTGAAGTGCACAGGGTTATGCACTGTACACTTGGGGTTGTGACAACACTGAAAGAGTTTGCACACAAAGTTGACTCCGAGGTTTTGCACACCCGGTCACAGGTGGGCTCGATCCCCACACCTTCAACCTCGCTGGGTCTCTAGCCTGGCGCTTCAGCCAGTTCGCCCACATGATGCCAAAGGTTCAAACTAAATACAGAATGGTCACACAAGTGTCAGCTCTCCATATATTGTAAACAGGGCCAGTTTTAATATCTGGAAACAATGCTTTTGAAAGATTAAAATGAGGGTATCCTTGACAAACAGCCTCCGTCTAAATATAAATCAAGCAATCAAAATATTTGAATGTTGATCATGACGGGAAGTCATCCAATACTATACTGAACATATTGTATATGATATTATCTGAGGGTATACCATTATCCAAGAGGTACCAAATGACAGATCGTTTAATATTTTCTGAAATTTGTAAAGAAATATTATACCCCAATTTGTTGTGATAACTAATATCTCGTTAACCACATTACCCACATATGTGGAATTTTGGATATGGCTTTCCTAATGATTCCTTCGAAAGGAAATAGAAGCTTTTCAAACATTGAACATCGAGAATATAGTTAGGTTGAGTACTATTTGTCTTTCACTTGATGGTCAGTTAATGAAATTATAACAGGTATATTTAGTCGTAACACCACTCAGATTACCTGACAAAGGTACATATTTTGCAATTCTCGTCGAGTGAATACTCAGCATTATGAATAAAAGTCTGACGTGGCAAATGTATATATCTATACTCTACACTTGTTGCCTGTCAAATAAAGGGTGCAACTGGCACATCATATATCACATCATTCAAGTATTTATAGTTTAGGTTCGCTAACTTGGTTGACACATGTCATCGTATCCCATTGCGTAGTTCAATGTTCATGCTGTCGATCATTGGATTGTCTGGTCCAGGCTCGATCATTTACAGACCGCCGCCATATAGCTGGAATATGGCTGAGTGCGGCGTAAAACTAAACTCACTCATTCACGGAGCTGTTTCCCCTTCGTAATATCAGTCACCGGACTATCTGATGAACACCCGATTGTTTACAAAATACGACGCTAAACAGACACACTCCATCCTTTTCATTCTATATAGTTCTGTTCACGAATCTCATGTTTAATGGGACTTCGCGTGAGGTACGTACAAGCCATGTCAATACCGTACACTTGAAAAGAGTTTTATCTCGTTCTTATCCACAGTTCACATGTACAGTATATAGTCTACGTTGTACAGAGGTGCACTTTTACAGAGCTACGGATATGCAAACCTTCTATGCGTTAATATTAACACGGTTGTGTAAATAAAGTATGTAAATAGTGTAAGGCTCCCATATTCATCAGTCTGTTGGATAAGTTGTTTTCCAGAACACGAAGGAGAAGAGGGTTACCTCACGCAGTGGCGTATCTACAGCGTAGCACAAAAAGCACGTACTTACACTTTAAAATTGAAAATAAATTGTTATGATTCAAGCTGCTAAAAAAATAACATTTAATTTGTTTTCATGTTTTCTGGGTTGTTTCTGGTATATACGTATAGTGCCGTGGTACCCGAACTCACCTTTCTTCGCGGATCATTTGTAGACAAAACATGTTGTGTCCACACTATACAATAGATTATGTCTGGAAACAGGCTGACACTTCAGTCCGAAATTGTTCGTTCTATAGGCGACATCGTTGGTCTGTTCTTTGAAATTGTTTTACCACTTAAGTATTGTATCTTTTGTTATGCGCATAAACGAGTCAGAAATCGGCAAAACGTTCATCTACAATTCATTCGTACTTCGTTAAACAACCCAAATTGACTGAAACACCCGTTAGACCTGACTATAGTACTCTGTATTCCCAAACACATTCTGATACAATAGCATTATCTGAGTCATGTACTGATTCCTCGCCAATTGTTAAATCAGACACTCCGAAATCATCTACTGTCTCTGCTGAGCCGGTAAAATTGACAAATATTAAGACTGGTTTCTCTGGTATTGATATTGGGTCATTTGAGTTACAGAATCTCAAAACTGAGAGCAATCGCTCTCTCATTCTCGGGGACTTAGATGCAACTGACGCCAGGAGAGATAGGTCGGTGAAGTTCCCATTGAGGGATATGTCAACGATAGTGTCATATGTCTTCCATGTGTCCTTTTCGCCACTGACGCAAATAAGGGTGCTTTTGTATCTTTTTTATGTAAATGACTGGGCAAATATTGGAACATTGATAAAGCGACACACTAATCTTGAATCACATCAAAATTGCTATGAAAAATGCAGTAACTACAGAAAGGTTGCTTCTCACGTTCAAGATGATATTTGTACGCAACTGTCAAGTAGCCACAAAGCAACTGTTGCTGAAAACCGTTCACTTCTGAAAACACTTATTGAAACACTCCTTCTGTGTGGGAAACAAAATATTGCAATTAGGAGGCACGCAGAGGACAAAAGTAACTTCGTTGCTCTCCTGCAATACAGGGCGCAGCGTGATGTCATCCTGAAAAACCATTGGACATTAGTTCAAATACCGACACATATTTGTCAGCACAGATTTAAAACGAGCTCCTTCACCTGTGTGCTTCACAAAAAAAACAACAAGACATAGCTAATGAATGCAATGCACAGGAATGTTTTTCTCTTATCGCTGATGAGGCCACTGATTCTTCAAACAAGGAACAGATTTCCCTTTCTGTCAGGTATGTGTCAGTTAATGAGGAAGGCCTCACAATACAAAACCCCCCAACTTTTGGGGGGGATTTGTTGAAGCAGAAAGCACAAAGACAGCACATTTAGCTGAGAATTTTTTTTCAGAATTAGGTGAATATGGCATTGATAAAAAATTCGTAAGAGGTCAGGGATATGACGGCGCTTCCAACATGAGTGGTCATGCTAACGGTGTTCAGGCAATCATTGGGCGGTGGGGTAGCCAATGGTTAAAGCGTTGGTTCGTCACACCGAAGACCCGGGTTCGAATCCCCACATGGGCACAATGTGTGAAGCCAATTTCTGGTGTCCCCCCGCCGTGATGTTGTTGGAATATTGCTAAAAGCGGCGTAAAACCAAACTCAGTCAGTCAGGCAATCATTAAACGCCAGTATCCCGGGGCGTTCCATGTACACTGCAAGTCTCACTGCTTGAACCTACCGCTTGTGCACAGTTGTTCCATTAAGTCTGTGAAAATGATCATGTCCACAGTTCAGGATATCGCTTTTGCATTTTCATATTCAGCAAAGCGTCTTCTATTTTTCACCAATGAGCTTGATTCCAATCAAGAAGTCAGAGAATCAATGGGCAGGAAAGAGATCACTGAACTATTTGAAACACGATGGACAAGCCGTGCAGATTCTCTATCAACTTTCAAACCCGCATTTGATGTTATTGTTGTTACCTTGCAAGCACTGGAACAACATGGGTATACCAGAGCTAGATCGTTACGATTGTCAATTCTCTCGTTTGACTTTATCGTTGGTCTCGTTGTTTCACAACATGTCATGCATTACACTGTACAGTTATTGAAACTGTCTCCTAGTATTGACTTTATTAAAGCTTCCAGCGAGGCGTCAGTTGTCATTAGTAGTCTTCGGCAAATCCGTGAGGATGATGATGTATGGCAAGAACTGTTTGACGATGCCTCAAAGCTTGCAAGAAAATATGAGCTGGGCCCTAGTATGCCAAGGTGTGTTGGCCGTCAGACAATGCGAGACAATGCCCTGCTCCAACTCCAATGCTGTACTGGAAGAGGAACTTATACCACCCTCTTCTTGACCACATCTCTCAGCAAATGGAGCTGAGGTTGATTGTACCAAATGGTCGCTTTGAAGCACAGTACTTAGTGCCTAGCTCACTGCACAACCTTACTGATGAAATTGTAAGGAGGGTGTTTCAACAATTTGTTGAACTGCGTCAAAGCGACATCGAGCAGCTAGAGGTTGAAGTCCGACGGTGGAAATGCCGTTGGCAGCACGTAGCCATTGAAGAAAGGCCATCTTGTCTGCTAACAACTCTCGACTTTGTCAAGGGGGTCTTTATCCACAAATCCACGTGGTCGTGAAAACATTGGCGACAATGCCAGTGTCCTCTGCAACAGCCGAACGTTCTTTCAGTGCAATGAGACGCATTAAGACTTACCTCAGAGCAACAATTTTCACTGGCAGATTGTCTGCACTTGCACTTATTCACGTACATCGTGATTTCGTGGTAGACATTGACAAAATCGTTGGCATATTCGCACAACGTCAAACTAGAAGACTCTTCTCTTTGACTAACATCTGTGATGACCTATTGTTGCTCTGATAGTTTGTTTAATCCTCTCAGTCGTCATGAGATCCACCTTATGCTTTCAAGTTGGAGTGTTTCATTTACCGAGTTTTCGAGTCTTTTTTAAGTTGCATTGGTACTATACTATTTACAATATTTACTTGGTCAGGATCTGCTTGAGTTAGATCCGCTAGTTTAGAGTTAATCTTCATGGTTTGCATGTTTTACCATGTTATTGACTTTAACTTGTGTTCAGAAAAATGTTTTACTTTTAGATGTGGTATATTCTCCCTGATTTCAAAATAGTTCATCAATTGTGCCTATACTCTGTATTTTCTTGGCTACGCGCCTGTCACGTACAGTGTGCGTTTTTTGCCACTAACTATCTTTTAGAAAGTCAGTTTTGGAAGAAAGATCTGAGAGCGTTAGTTCACGTACTGTGTGCGTTTTCGTGGTTAACTATGCATTAGAAAACCAGCTTCGAATGAAAGATCGAGATGCAATTGGTCGGACCGTTTAAATGAATCTCACGAGGGCACGGAATGGTACAACATGTTTCATATGAAGCGACATGTGTTTGATTCATACTGGGTACAAAACATTGACTCCTGAAATACAAAGATGACTGTCACATTAGCTGGTAGACAATTAATCGCATTTATGAATGTATTGTTTTGTAAATAGTAATCCGTGGAGAAGAATGCCTACTACTTCATGATGTAAACAATATATAGAATATGCAAAGGACAGATCGAACTGAATCTATTTCTATAAATACTGTATAATGCCATCAATGCATTTTTCCCTTATAAGGTAATACCCTTCGAACTGGTATATGGAAGACCTACTTATAAATATTGCTTATATGTCCAGAAGGTAGTTCCACCGTTGTCCGGGGCGGAGGGGTAACCTTGTGGTTAAAGCGTTGGCTCATCATGTCAAAGACCGAGTTCGATTCCCCACATGGATACAATGTGTGAAGCCCAATTGTGGTGTTCCCCGCCGTGGTATTGCTGGAATATTGCTAAAAGCGGCGTTAAACCATACTCACTCCACCTTCGTCCTGCATGTACAAACGGGTAGTATATATATTGGACAAAATAAGTTAGGTATTGGTAGTTATTCGTATTTTTATGATTGATATTTTATCAGTGTGTCAATTAATAAATAGATCATTATTCATAATTTCAAAATTTACATATATCAACAATATTTACATAACTATTTTTGTCAAGTATATATATTTCACGTGAGCCGTGTGTGTTTCATTGCAGCCCATATCCCCACACCGAGAGACGTTTATTTGAACAGTGAATTTGCTGTGTTTCGTCAACAGAAGAAGGCGCGAGTCCAGAGGAACAAGTTGGGAGAACACGGAGAGCATCGCCATGGCTAACCTCGGGTAAATGATCTATTTACTATTTTATTGCAATAAAGTTCCAATACTGAGTACAATTTTATGCCGGTTTTAGAATTATTCCAGCCATATCAGGGTTTGAGGCACCTGGTGCCTGCTTGACACATCGAACCCGGGTCTCATGGGTACATTTGAAATAAACTTATGCTGATTTCTTTTCTATAATTCAAACATTCTTTCACTGATTTATATAGTGGTATGGTTTGTATAAGGTTATACTTGTAATCAGCATGAGGGGTGTGTCTCTGAACATGTTAAAGCCAGCAGGGAAACGTCTTTTTTTAAAACGACACCACGACTGCTGACGATGACCCCAAATACCCCAACTCCTTCCAGATCTCGGTACACTGGCCCGGAACAATACAACGCGTCTAGATTTCTGGATGTAAATGCAGCATTCAGAGCTGACATAACAAGTGACGTTTAAAATGTACTTTAAAAAGGGCTTAAACAGACACTGGTCGCTGGGAGAAACAACATTGTGTCTGGGTGAGGTATCCGTGTTACCTGGTCGGCTTGAAGTGAGGATACTGCGTATTCATGTTAAGAGCTGCGTCATCCTATCAGTGGGCTCGGGCTACAGAAATGGACTAAAACGTCCGAACTAATACATGCAGTGTATGCTCACCTTTTCGAGAATATCTTGTGTCATTTGGTGTTTATATATGTGTACATACAGATGTACAGGCAAACATCGTTGTGTCGAAGTTGAAATACTTCGAGTTAACCGAAGCACGACATAAACGCGAAATCATCACTAAAGAAGTACGTAACTGTTTATTTCGAGACAAACGTATGTTCGACACATCAACGTTTCTGTTTGACTGTGTGTGGGTCTGGGCCACAAAGCGATCTTGGCGGTACGACTGTTGTAGAGCTTGGTACCATCGTCACAGCGCTAAGATGGCTTTCTGGAACAGGCCTAAGATGTCGTATATGTAATACAATTACCTTTTCCTTTTCCTCAGCGTTCTAGCCCTTCTCCTGCTGGTGGCGACGACATCCGCCTACCGCTTCTACCAGGACGAGATCCCGAACGGAGATCACGTGCCCCACCCTTGTAAAGCCAACTACTTATGGTGGGGAGTCGGGCATGACAACTCCCTCGGGGGCGGACCAAGGAACCCATTTGGACGAGACTTCGCTCGATATCACAGCGTAAGCAAATATACAGAAAGAAACACGACTTAGTTAATTTCATTGAATGTGTATTGAGTTATGTACAGTTTGGTGTAAGGGTAGACTGATGAGGCGGATGGCTTCAGAATCGTTGCTCATACTATCAACCACTAGTTCCCCACAGTCCACATTGAAACAGCTGTATAACTGCTAAGCGCTTCGCACAAGAACATTCACACACAACACAATACAAACATGAACACAACAAAACGATACAAATGTCCCCAATCAATACCGTACTTATTTCATTTGTTTAAATTGCTGGATGAAAATTGTTGATAAGTGAGTGTTGTACCCAAATGTCATAGGACGCTGGCATCACTCACAGGTTTAACTGTCCGAGGTTCGGTTATTTACAAGCCTCAACACAAATGATTAGCTGAACGTTGTGTTAAACCACCAACAATGTGTTAACTATTTACCTTATTCTTTCATGTATGGTATCAGTGGACGACGGAGTTGTGCCGCCTGGACTCGGATGGGGACGGGATGACCAACGGGCAAGAGCTGGGTGACCCTGACTGTGTCTGGACGAAGGGAACTTTCCCTTTCACCTCACGTGTCATATCTCATCCAGGTAACACTGCATTTCACAACAGACTAACTTTCCTGTAAATTGTTCTTCACACCATTCTGGATTCGAACCTAGTCCATCGGCGTGATGGACGAACGCTTTAACCACTAGGCCACTACACGCTTTCGACTGTTTGCTACTCTCAACTATAACGGAATGAAAAGGATGATTATCTTCAGCATCAGGGACAAATGTTCAGAATCATGCTATTATGTGAAGCATAGTAGCCTAGATGGTTCATCGTCGACTTGTCACGTCCTCAAGTCTTTGTTCGACTCCGCGTTATATCCTCATGATCCCATCTGTCATCATTATTGTTCAAAAATGGCATTACAACTTCTTTCGAATCATGCTCAATGGTGATTATGAAAAGTTTAAGAAGGTCGCAACTTTTTCTGACCAAACTGTGCAGATTAACAAGTGTCCGGATTAATCAAACCGGTGTGTTCCATTATACACGTGGTGGGGTAGCTTAGTGGTTAAAGCGTTGGCTCGTCACACCAAAGGCCTGGGTTCGATTCATCACATGGGTACAATGTGTGAAGCCCATTTCTTGTGTTTCTGTCGTGATATTGCCGAAATATTGCTAAAAGCGGCGTAAAACGATAGTCACTCACAGTAAATGTTAAATGTTTCATTTCATGGATTTAATAGGGACCCGTTGGTAGAACTGATTCAAGTTTTGATGTTTTTTAAACACTAACGGGCCTTTGGTATGATTCAGGTGTCTGTGACCCATGGGGCAGCGAGCAGTGCAGAGAATCAAACAAGGATGTCTCGTGCGAAACAGGGGAGTTCAAATGCGACGAGTTAAACAGTCCAGGTAAAACAAAAGACTGCGAAACAGCGGGGCGGGGAGGGGCGTGTGTGTGTGTGTGTGTGTGTGTGTGTGTGTGTGTGTGTGTTGTGTGTTCGTCATCGTGATGATTTCCCCAGGAACTGGCACGCTGCTCCATCATTCTGTCAACCACTAGTTGCCATGGATCGGCTTAATAACAAGTCGCCGTGGTTTAGCTGGAATGTTGAAGAGGTCGCGGTGATATAGCTGGAATGTGGAAGAGGTCGCCGTGATATAGCTGGAATGTTGAAGAGGTCGCCGTGATATAGCTGGAATGTTGAAGATGTCGCCGTGATATAGCTGGAACGTTGAAGAGGTCGCCGTGGTTTAGCTGGAACGTTGAAGAGGTCGCCGTGGTTTAGCTGGAACGTTGAAGAGGTCGCCGTGGTTTAGCTGGAACGTTGAAGAGGTCGCCGTGGTTTAGCTGGAATTTTGAAGAGGTCGCCGTGGTTTAGCTAGAACGTTGAAGAGGTCGCCGTGGTTTAGCTGGAACGTTGAAGAGGTCGCCATGGTTTAGCCGGAACGTTGAAGAGGTCGCCGTGGTTTAGCCGGAACGTTGAAGAGGTCGCCGTGGTTTAGCTGGAACGTTGACTCGAACGTTGAAGAGGTCGCCGTGGTTTAGCTGGAACGTTGAAGAGGTCGCCGTGGTTTAGCTGGAACGTTGAAGAGGTCGCCGTGGTTTAGCTGGAACGTTGAAGAGGTCGCCGTGGTTCAGCTGGAACGTTGAAGAGGTCGCCGTGGTTTAGCTGGAACGTTGAAGAGGTCGCCGTGGTTTAGCTGGAACGTTGAAGCGTGTTGCGTAAAAGAATATTCACTTTTGTGACCAAAGTAATATCCATTTTCACTGAAATCTTCACTGAGAAATGAAAATGTCGGCTGATCTAAATCGATGGTTTGATTCTACATAACAATATGATGTTTGCGTTCTTTCCCAGTAAACCGCCTCCGTGGTGAAGTGGTAAGAGAGTCCGCCCGGAGAGCGGAAGGTCGCGGGTTCGATCCCTGACCGCATCATACCAAAAGACGTTAAAAATATGGTACTTGTTGGTCCCAGCCTGGCGCTTGGCAGTAATGGGTACAAGAAGGACTGGTCGGCTCGGAGTCAGTATAATGTGTCTGAGTGGTTTATTCATGCTTCACTGCGGCATGGTATCTCAGTTGGCTAGCACTATAAAACCAGCTTCAGTCTGTGCTAGTACAAGCAGCCGCACATGCACATACACACGCATGCACGTCGTCATATGAGCGAAATATTCTCAAGCACGACGTTAAACCCAATTTCACCTCACCTCTTTTCCAGTGCATGGCTTTTTTAGATGGGTTTGTGAATAAGTATCTGTTCGCGATAGGGATGGCTATTAACATTGATCAGAGATCGATAATCGTTACCTAAATATCGATCGGTTGTCGATAAATATCTCAGACGTAACTTTGAGCAAACATTCCAAAAATATCGGAAAGAAATGAATATATTTCAAATCACTGATGAGTGGCGACATGTTATTGCATTATTGTTATCATTATCATTAACAAAACAGTGCCCTAAACATGATTTAGAAGCAGACCACGAATAAAGTCCTAAACTTGTTTATTGTGTGGGAAATTTAATTTCTTTTAATCACATAAGTTAATGTACAATATTATCGATAACATAATTTTTATATCGATAATCATTAATATTTTTTCCCATCGACGAAATTTCCGATTACGATCATTTTAGCCACCCCTAGCTCATAATCACATGATGATTAATTGAAAAGTAGTTTAAGGTGCCGCAATTGTCTGTGCAGAGTTGCGTCCCTTGCTAGAAACCTATGATTTTGGGGTCGTTGGAATGCTGCTAAAATCGGGTTTTAATCCAAGTAACTCACGAATTCCTTCTGAAACGCACAAAATAACGTCAACGCCTTAATGATAACGCTGTATTTCTTTCATAACTAGATGTGATGAACATAACGCTGCGGTTCCCCCCGACCCGTGTCCCGGCTGAGGAAACAAGCTACATGTGCTTCACCTTTAACCTTGATACGTTGGATAACAATACCGACTACCATCTGATCGGCAGCAAGCCCTTCATCGACAACGCCAACGTTATGCACCACATCACCTTGACGGGATGTGACGCTACAGGTAAACCTGACGCAGAAAGGGAAAAAAAAAGTTTCATGTTCTTATGTTCCAAATTAGTTTTGATTAAATTTCGATTGTTTTTGCTATTTGAATATGTTTTTAAAATTTATTATTTTTCGAAGCTCCTTTCTCTCGTAATTTCGTTTATTTTCTCAATTCTCGTGTAAAAATAACAGAATCCTGTTCATTCCAATGATTTCTGATATGTTTAACCAACATTAAGATGAAATGCATGCTTGTTTTAGTTTGATGGTGACCCGTGAAGATCCAGGTTAAAATTGGTCTTCAGCAACCCATGCTTGTCGTAAGAGGCGATTAAAGGCATCGGATGGTCAGGGTCGCTGACTTGGTTGACACATGTCATCGTATCCCAATTGCATAGATCGATGCTCATGCTGTTGATCCCTGGGTTGTCTGTTCTAGACTCGATTATGTACAGACCGCCGTTTTAAAGCTAGAATATTGCTAAGTGAGGCGTTAAACAACAACCAAATGAAAACAGTTTGGCAGTCTTGCTCCTTCCTTTGAATGTTGGAATATCGAATATTTAGGCGTGCCTCTCTCCGAGCCAGCGTTATGCAACATGGCATCCCCTGGATGCCAGAGAACCCTTCAGGTGTGGACGCTAGGGATGCCAGGGGAGTGTGTATATCCGGATGCCGGATTCAAGTTTGGCAAGAAGGCAGGGATGTCCATGATCAACATGCAGGTGCGAGAATCTCAGATATTAAAAACAGATATTCTAAACAAACTTTCTTTTCGAATCTTGCGAGTGCCAGGTGCTACGATAGAGCTGAACATGCTTACCTTTTGAAAAAACACCTGGTGTCATTACATAGATTTTTACCGCGTTTCTGCTTTGCTCCGAGGGAGACTGTGTTAGAAGTGCCAGGATCCTAGGATAGTCGGTTCGAATCCCAGTTTGCTTACGTAAGGTTTTCAGGTTTTTCAGCATCATACCACGGCTGGTGGATGTCAGCAAAGCGGTAAACGTGAAGAACTTGCGTTACTACGGGCCTTTGAATCGTAATAGAAATACCTTGAAGAGCGGCGGTTAACCAAACATACTCAGCTCAATCATTTACCTTGTAGTTCCACTGGACGAACCCACAGAAAAGAACCGACTACGTGGACAGTTCAGGCCTTGTGTTGTTCCTGACAACGAAGCTGAGAAAGAACAACGCTGCCTATTTTACCACTGGCCAGATGCAGTTGGTCATCCCGCCTGGTCAGCAGCGAGTGGTCAAGAAGTCTACATGTACTGCAGAGTGCACCAGGAAACTAATTAAGGCACCGGTGAATCTAATGACTGGGTGGAACCATATGCATTATTTGGGTAGGTATGTGAGTGAGTGAGTGAGTGAGTGAGGTTCGAGGTTTCATCAATATGGGATTGTAACAGTCATTTGTAATTCTCCCCCTCTGGGTTTAATATTTCGTTGTTGGAACTGTTGGTGCCGTTGGCCTACAGTAAGTTGTTGAGAGTTCGGGATGTTGATGACGTGGTGTCTGTATCAGCTTGTTGCTTCAGTAGTCTTCTGATCTGGTGTGAAGTCTTGCCAATATAGTGGCCGTGAAAAATCTTAACAAGCCTCTGGTTGTGAAACCAAACGTACGGGTATGGTAAACCTTTCGGAAGAATCTAAGACTGGAACACAAAACCGGTGTAGTCCTGCGTGGCTTGAAATGCAGTTCTGCACAGCGAATCTCAACGCCCAACAATGCAGAGATCTGAATCTCACGAAAATAGGATCCTAAAACAACAATGACCTCCTCCCTTTTCAGGTTTCCAACAAAACGTGGAACATTTCCGGAATGGCGAGAAACTGCGAGACTTGACTCCAGACGAAGTGTACAGTTATGACAACCCTATTGTTCACACGTAATGTATTTCCTGCGCTATAATTTCTTACCAGAAAGTCTAAACGGCAGATTGAGATACAGTATTCTTTGGACGAGGGTAAACGTCACACGTTTTGCCGTGCAGTCCTCTACTCACTCTCTCTCCAATCAGGCATTTGCATAGGACTGAAAAAACCCAATGTTGTCCTTTTGGGTAGCACATTCTATTTTTTTTTTAAATCAAAGTTTTTAGCATTTCTCTCGTCATTTCAATTATTTTAAGAAAGAAAATTTCAGATAATAATCGAAAGTAAAAGCATAAAAGCATAAAAATAGCGAGAGATAACTTTAAATTTCGACAAGAAAAATGTGTAACTGTAATGCCGAGGACTTTTTCGACGTCATAAAAAGATATATAAAAGAATCGACTAGCCTCTGACATAACACAGTAGTAAATGTGTCACATCATGAGGGATTAACTTTAATAAAATCGGCAGTGTTTTTAGCAGTGTTTTACTCACAACAGGCCTGAGATCCACTACTACTACTACTACTACTACTACTACTACTACTACTACGTAAAATAAGTGACATTCCAGAAGACCCGGCCCCGATTCACTACATGCATATGGTTACAATGTGTGAGGCTCTTTTCTCGTGTTCCCCGCCGTGATATTGTTGGACATTACGGCGTAAAACCATACTCACTCACTCAACACTTCTCTCAACCAAGGTACAACCCTCCCGTGCAGCTTCTGGCGGGCGATGTTCTAGAAACAACCTGCGTGTACAGGTCCACCTCCAGAAGCACAACTGCCATGTTTGGAGAGGGGACGTTCGATGAGATGTGTTTTGGGGTTTTCACCTACTACCCCGAAGAGGCCATCCAGCGCTCGTCCTGCCTGACGTGGAATGATCTGGACCTCTGTAAACGCGATGAAACTAGATCTCTCAACGGCTGTAACTTTAACATGGTGTTCAATGCATCAAATCCCATCAGAAAGCAATTATTTGGCAAGGTATGTTAAACTTTATTGGGGTATAACCAAATCAAATGCCACTATTTTGGTTTTGGTTCAAACGGCACCATTCTATTTTACGTTCAAATGACACTATTTTCTTTGACAAGATATAATTTCATGACCATCTTTATTATGAAAACACCCAGTGCCCGCCTTAAATACCGTTTCCGACCAAGTGTTTTATCGACATTCTAGAAGTTGTTGAGTCAATAATAAAGCAAACGACTTTATTGATAACAACTTCTTCTTTATTGATTAGAGAGATGTTTCCATGTAGATTCTTACACTGCTTTCAAGCTAAAAGAAATCTTGAAAAAGGTGTAAGAATATACACTGAAACGTCGCTCTATGCAATAAACAAGAAGTTGTCAGGTCTATATATTATTTCACCAGGCAGTTAAGTTGGAAAAAGATTATTTTTATTATTATCAACATTGACTATTTATATGTATTTTTTTCTTGACGTTTCTGTTTAAGGTTTTGGACAACTGTAATGTCTATGGAGGATGTCGTGCTGAATGTCCAGCTGCCGTAGCTGAGGTAAAACAACACCCGTGCTTTACGGGACAAGTGGAGGGTTATATCAAAGACATAACGAGAAACTTTCGGGATAATGTTGAAAACACTAAATTTTTTGCTGCTATGGAGTCATGCGAGTGCAGAGGTTAAACCTAGCTATGGGCCGTACCCGACGGCTGGTGCCTCAAAACAATCAACCCTTGCTTCCATCGCAGTTATCTTGGCAGTTGCGTAAATCTTTCTGTAGAGTGGATGCATAGTATGGGCAATATCCGCACACAAGGCCTGAAACCGCCGTTAACTCGAAGCTATTAAGTCACGAATCGAAATATTGAAGTTCGTATTAATGAGGTTCTGGTGAAACAATAGGTTATATGTATTTTTGTAGAGTATTATTATCATGGTTTCACGTATATATTTTCAGGTTTAGTTATTCTTGGTAATCAATAGATGTGATTATAAGACATAATCCCAATTTAATTTCTGAAAAGAGAAGAATTTCCTTACTATTTTGTATGTCTGATATTTTCTTGAATAAACTTATTTCAAAGCTTCAGAGGGAAGTTTTAGTTTGTTATAAAGACTTTGAAAGGATGCATGATATCGCTTAAATCCAGTATTAAATAGTCTGTCTCAAAAAGGATGCAAGTGAATTGATATAGCATCAAACAAAGGGTGCAACCGACAATACATCCAATCATTCAAGTGTTTGTACTCTACACTTGTTGCCTGTCAAACAAAGAGTGAAACTGACAGGATATCACATCATTCAAGTATTTATACACTACACTTGTTGCCTGTCAAACAAAGGGTGAACTGACAGGATATCACATCATTCAAGTATTTATACTCTACACTTGTTGCCTGTCAAACAAAGAGTGCAAGTGACAAAACATCCCATCATTCAAGTATTTATACTCTACACTTGTTGCCTGTAAAACAAAGGGTGAAACTGACAGGATATCACATCATTCAAGTATTTATACTCTACACTTGTTGTCTGTCAAACAAAGGGAGCAAGTGACACTACATCACATCATTCCAGTGATTATACACTACACGTGTTGCCTGTCAAACAAAGGCTGAAACTGACAGGATATCACATCATTCAAGTATTTATACACTCCACGTGTTGCCTGTTAAACAAAAGGTGCAAGTGACACTGCATCCCATCTTTCAAGAATTTATACTCTACACTTGTTGCCTGTCAAACAAAGGGTGCAAGTGACACTAAATCTTATCTTTCAAGTATTTATACTCTACACCTGTTGCCTGTCAAACAAAGGGTGAAACTGACAGGATATGACATCATTCAAGTATTTATACTCTGCACTTGTTGCCTGTCAAACAAAGGGTGAAAATGACAGGATATCACATTAGTCAAGTATTTATACTCTACACGTGTTGCCCGTAAAACAAAGGGTGAAAATGACAGAATATCACAACATTCAAGTATTTATACACTACACATGTTGTCTGTCAAACAAAGGGCCCAAGTGACACTAAATCTTATCTTTTAAGTATTTATACTCTAAACTTGTTGCCTGTCAAACAAAGGGTGAAACTGACAGGATATCACATTAGTCAAGTATTTATACTCTACACTTGTTGCCTGTAAAACAAAGGGTGAAACCGACAGGATATCACATCATTCAAGTATTTATACTCTACACATGTTGCCTGTCAAAGAATGGCTGCAAGTGACACTACATCACATCATTCCAGTGATTATACACTACACTTGTTGCCTGTCAAACAAAGGGTGAATCTGACAGGATATCACATCATTCAAGTATTTATACTCTACACATGGTGCCTGTCAAAGAATGGCTGCAAGTGACACTACATCACATCATTCCAGTATTTATACTCTACACTTGTTTCCTGTCAAATACAGTGTGAAACTGACAGGATATCACATCATTCAAGTATTAATACTCTACACGTGTAGCCTGTAAAACAAAAGGTGCAAGTGAAACTACATCCCATCATTCAAGTATTTATACTCTACACTTGTTGCCTGTCAAACAAAGGGTGAAACTGACAGGATATCACATTAGTCAAGTATTTATACTCTACACGTGTTGCCTGTCAAACAAAGGGTGAAACTGACAGGATATCACATCATTCAAGTATTTATACTCTATACTTGGTGCCTGTCAAACAAAGGGTGCAAGTGACACTACATCCCATCATTCAAGTGTTTATACTCTACACGTATTGCCTGACTAACAAAGGTTAAAACCGACACAACATCACATCTTTCAAGTATTTATACTCTACACTTGTTGCCTGTCAAACAAAGGGTGAAACTGACAGGATATCACATGAATCGAGTATTTATACTCTACACTTGTTGCCTGTCAAACAAAGGATGCAAGTCACACTACATCACATAATTCCAGTATTTATACCCTACACTTGTTGCCTGTCAAACAAAGGGTGAAACTGACAGGGTATCATATCAATCAAATATTTATACTTGTTGTCTGTCAAATAAAGGCTGCAAGTGACACTACATAGCATCATTCAAGTATTTATACTTTACACTTGTTTCCTGTCAAATAAAAGCTGCAAATGACACTTCATCCCATCGTTCAAGTATTTATACTCAGCACTTGTTGCCTGACAAACAAAGGGTGCAAGTGACACAGTATCACATCATTCAAGTATTTATACTCTACACTGTTGCCTGTCAAACAAAGGGTGCAAGTGAAACTACATCACATCATTCAAGTATTTATACTCTACACTGTTGCCTGTCAAACAAAGTGTGCAAGACACTACATCCCATCAATCAAGTGTTTAGAATTCATGCTTGTCGTAAGAGGCGATTAACGGTGGCAAGACTGACTTAGTTGACACATGTCATAGTATCCCATGCGTAGTTCGATGCTCAGGCTGTTGATCACTGTATTGTCTGGTCCAGACTCGATAATTTACATACCGCCACCATATAGCTGGAATATGGCTGAGTGCGGCGTAAAACTAAAGTCACTCACTCACGGAGGTATTTCCCCTCAGTAATATCAGTCATCAGACTATCTGATGAACACTCGATTGTTGACCAAATACGACGCTGAACAGACACACTCCATCCTTTTCGTTCTAATTCTGAGGCAGTTCACGGGCCTCATGTTCACAGGAACCTCCCGGCACATATGTACAAGCCATGTTTGTTTTGTACACTTGAAAACAGAGGCTTAATCGTTCTTATCCACAGTTCACATGTACAGTATATAGCCATTTACGTTGTACAGAGGTGCACTTGTACAGAGTTGCAAATATGTAAACCTGCCATGCGTTAATATTAACACTGTTGTGTAAATAAAGTATGTAAATAGTGTAAGTCTCCTATATTCATCAGTCTGTTGGATAAATTGTTTTTCAGAACACGAAGGAGAAGAGCTTTACCTCACGTACAGTGTGCGTTTTTCGCGAATACATTAGAAAGGCAGATTTGGAAGAAACATCTGAGAGCGTGAGCTCACGTACTGTG